ATGTATAGAATGTTGAACAGAGAACATGGGATATAGATATAAACACATAGAGAATCTGACAAGGATAGGGATATCATATTTGAAATCGAATACACATAGAATAATACAGAATAAATGTATGCAAATAGCACCTACCACACCTAAATAATACCAGGCCCCCCTTTCTATTTTTCTACTTTTTATCTTCCTTTAATCTCCCAACTTCATTCCTACTTCTTCCCGACCTTCCCCCCCACACCTACTGCACCTTGATTCTCTCTTTTCTCTCTCTCACTCTATCGGTTAATTTCAAAGGTATGTTCCCTTTCCTGCGATATGACGTCTTTCGTCTTTCCTGCCTCTTTGTGTTGGATATACACAACATCCCGGTTATTTGACGCCTCTCCGCATTCTGTGAATAATATTATATCGCGCACAGCAAGAACTGCATGGCAAAATCGAGCTGACACTGGAATTTGGACGCTAATAATCTTTGTTTCCAATAGAAAATACATTGACGATACTACACCTATATCTTCCCGTTCCCACACCGATCACGCGTTCCGTCTCCAGCCGGCTACTGTTTTCAATCTCACCCCTCGCGAGAAAATCATCCCCGCAGACAAGCTTCAAGCTCCAACCCACCGGGCCCTGATCGTCTATCGCGTTTGATAGATCTACTGTGAAAAGAATCCAGATCTCTCGGAGAACGTGTAATCCCGACGCAGGGTGAGTTCTCTTGCCTCGCCTTCCCACGCGCGCAGACCTTACGGTGTCCTCACCGAGCTCGATTCCCCGGTTTATGTCAGGTTTTATGAGGGGTTTCCGACTCTAACCATACTATTAGTATCTTTGACAGAGCTTGCGACTTGTGACGAATCCAAACCCAGAAATCCGAGCCTCGAATCACCGATCCCTACGCGCGCAGGATCATTATCAAGAACAAGAGAATTCCGCGGAAAAACCAGCTTGCTTCCAGCCTATAGGCCTGCTGAAGGACGTCTTCGAAAGCAGTCCTTGACTACGGTCACTTGGCGACTTCCTGGGTCGGGTCATGGACTTCACGACCATCCTGAACAGGAAAAACTCCGCCGCTGCAGCAGCCGCCGCTGAAGCGCAGCTACAACAACAGTACTTTCAGCAGAGTGCACAGTTGCACGGAGCATCGCCCACGATGAAGAGCGAGTCTGGTGGCTCGGACAACCCTGTCAACGCATACCCTCCCCACGGTCCCCCACCCATGCAAATGGACGCTGGGCTTGCCGACTCCTTCTACTACGCACAGCCCACGGGCTCCACTCCACGAAACATGGCCTATGCTCCTGCAGGATACGCTGGCGAACCACAGATGCAGCAGGAACCTGTTCCTCAAGGGAGGTCGGGCATTGATCCGCCACCTAAGACCTTTCATTGCTCGACTTGTAACAAGGGATTCGCGCGGCGCAGCGACCTTGCACGTCATGGTATGTATCTTCGAATCAATCCAATCACGGCTGCTAACATCTCACAGAGCGTATCCATACCGGAGTCAGACCCCACGCTTGCGATTGGCCTGGGTGTGGGAAGCAGTTCATCCAGCGCTCCGCGTTGACAGTGCATTCCCGTGTGCACACTGGAGAGAAGCCGCATATGTGCGAGCGTTGTGGCAAGGTGTGTATCATCAATTATAGTGTTATTGACTGTTGAAACTAACAAGTATGCAGCCTTTCAGTGACTCGTCCTCATTGGCAAGACATCGTCGAATTCACTCCGGAAAGCGCCCCTATAAATGCCCGTACGCCAACTGTCAGAAGACATTCACGCGCCGTACGACATTGACTCGACACCAAAATCACCACACCGGTACGATTGAAGAGGCCGCCGCTGAGACCGAGGCCCAATTGCGCCAAAACAAGGACCGTGGTCGACCCGGCGAAGGGATGTTCTCCGAGCATGGCTCAATCCACTCTACACCTTCCCCTGCGCAGCACCCATCTATGTCACCAGGTGGCGAACTTCCTCCTCTGAACATGCACCGCTCCGCTGGCGACTATTACATGGGCACCGGTCCCATCCCGCCTCATGTGCGCGGCGATTTCCCCCAAGCCAGCCCCCGGGCTTCCCCAACTGCGACATCTCCCTCGCTCTCCAGCTACGGTAGTGCGCCTCATGCTCGGCCATCCATGACCTCGCATCCTTATGCTCCGCCTCAGCCTCTGGAGCCGCCTGCCAACAGCGACCACCGGCCCAACAGTGTCAGCGGGAGTCCCCACATGACCAGTTTAGGCTGGGCATCTCCCTCGCATGGCAGCATGCCCTCCCCAGGCTCAGCCAACGACTTCACCTACCCCGAGCCGAGCGGCCCGGCATACCCCACCTCCATGCCGCCGCACATGTACTTCCCCAACTCTACCATCCGCCGTCCTACCAGCACCGAGCCTGAGAACTACGAAATGAAGCCTCGAGGCGACCACTCATGGTCCACAGCTGTATGATGCACACAAAGCAAATGCGCTGAACACAGCTGAAGTTCATACCCCATTTTTCCTTTGTTTTGTTACTTCATTGCATAAGCCCTTGATTCCCACGAGAGCCTTACAATCTCGAATTTCATTTATTTCCTTTGTTTGTCCTTTTGTGTTCATGCATTTTCTTATCCGTTTGTACTTATATTGATATTGATGGGAATCCAGCACAACTGGAAGGAGTCGGGACTATCTGATCGTGTTTCCAGAATCTGGGATTTATTGCGCTTTTTCACATTGTTGTTTCAGGTTGTCAGTTGTCATCCTCTACCCGCTTACTGCCCTTGCAAACTCTTTTTATGTTTTCCTTTGTCGATTGCTGGCGCGTGGATGGCATTGCTTACTGGGACACGATCAGATGAGGAACTGGGACTGGGACTGGAACTGGAACTGCATCCGTGGGATAGATAGAGAAGCGTGGGATTAGGGATTTTCATCTTCTTGGGTACCAATGGATGGGTTCGGAATGGGAAAGGGGTTGGTTTTGCTTTGTTATGCTGGCTCCTGATGCGAGTGTCTTTGTCTGGTCGGGATTTGGTCATGGGTTATTTATCTTTGTGTTCTTGCTTTTGTCTGTCTTTTTGCTACGTTATTGTGCTTTATACATCTAATTATTGTTCGCTATGCTTTTTCCTGTGCATTTTCTCTTTTCGTCGTTTTTGCTCTGGTTTTTCCGTCTGCTTTGCTGCGCGACAAATACCATTTTCAAATGAGGTCGTCTTCCACCAGCGATCCCTTTATGTATGATAGATCAAGATTAATAGACTGGTGGCGTCATATTTCCTCTACCGAGGACTGAAGTATATTCTGTACGTATCCCAAAATAGTGATCGGTCTTCTGGAACAAGACCAGAGTGTGTAGTAACTCGTCCATGGATGGATATATATCGAGCGATCCGTTACACAAAAGCCAACGGGGAAAAGGAGACAAAGAGACAAAGAAATACCCGAAGTCCCTATACCAAAAAACAATCAGTCTGTGTGGACTGATGCTCGCTTCCTAGAGAGTTGCTGTGCATATATGTCTGTTACACAAGGCAACCTTCTGTCCCGAGGTTGCATCTCCAGCGTCGTTGTGTCTCAAGGCGAGTGGAGTAGCGGCATCAAAACACACGTAAAATCTCGCCATGGTATTTCATGTATAGTAGGGCTAGACTAGGTAGAGCCCACGGCGTCATTGTTGTACTAAGACAAGGCTTGAATTTATCTACAGTAGGCGCGATACGGCCTGGCAGTAGTGTCCGAGATGTATTTTGACGTAACCGTATGAATTGATAGTTGATCTCTATTCGGACTCAAGCTCCAATCCTGGCTTCTGTAGTTGTGAGTGTCGATTTTGAGATCGGTTGGCTGGGATAAGCTGCAGGGTACCTTTATATCTGCCTAGCGTGTAAGACAAGCTGAGCAGCAAATCTGGAGACCGAAGAGAAATACAAGGAAACAAATAAATGCGCAGAACGTATTGTTTCTTGACGTTACAAACAAATATGTCCGAGACTGATTCATGTGTGCCTGAGGCAGAAGTATCAAACTTGCCCTAAGTGCGCCGCGACGACATGAGACTGCGCTATAGAAGCATATAGCAGGCTAATCAGATAAGTCACTCAGCCATCTGATACTAATAAAATGGTATTTTACAAACAAGAATCAATTAGTACTTTTTGACTCCAGTAATGGAGCATACATGATTGTCCGTTGGTTGGCTCTTCGGGAAACTATAGGTAAAACTCCCAAGATTTTAACACACTGAGAACCATTCGCTAACGAACACCTTCTTACGCATCTATACGCGACATCTTGTTTGATCTATTAACATCCTCTCCGCCCTCCGCTATGGGTGTCATCCAGCTCCAGGAATATGCCTATCCTCTTCCGGCAACCAGTCCCCTGCTGCCTGCCCTGTCAAAGGGCAATTGAGACATAATGGGCGCGTGATAAATAGCAATGCAGTGAATGGCACTCTTGACGCGATGAGGTCCTGGAAGGTTCGAATCTCGTGCTCCTTTTGTTTTCCCCATCCTCTTTCTCTTCTCTTCTCTTCTTCACCCACCCTTCCACTTCACGATCCAGATCAACTGTTTTGCAACGCTTGACACATCTTTCTCAAGTCTTGCTTGCCTATTTTCGTCTATTCTGGTCTCACCCTCTGGGGCAGGTTTGCCGCTCTAATCCCCAAGCCTCAAGCATCTTCATACCATCTCTGCCTCTGTCTCTGTTCCCGTCATTCATCCTCCACCACTTTGCTATCGTCCTCCATTGGGCAGATCACATTGTGTTTCATCATACACTGTACCCTCCATTGCACCGTGCCTATTCATTACACTGTGCCTGGCCACTACATTGTGCCTCGCCATTACACTGTGTCTCTCCATTGCTTTGATCCTATATCATTGCTCTGGCATCTCCATTGATCTTATCTCATCCAATGTCGTTTAGAATCTGTTGCTCTTGATCCATCTTTGTACTGGTCTCTCTATGCTCTGATCCGATCGTCTCATACTTGCCATCTTCAAGACAATGGCGTCAATTCGGCAGGCACAGTTTACCTCATTGAATGGGGAGGCCCTCACTGATTCAACTCCAGTTTGCTGGGCTGGCGACGTCCTCACAGGGGTTGTGAACGTTGCAAATGGTTCGAAGTTGAGCACGGCCATCAAGCTTCAAGGCAAGTCTACACTTGCATCATTCTTTCTGCGCAGCTACTAACTATTCTTTCCTACAGGCAGAATCCGCACCTCTATCAGTAAAGTCAGACACCTACCTTTGTTGTCCGACATCGAGCATCTTCTTGTTAATCTCGATGCCGATACCATCGAAATCACCCGAGCAGCACAGAAGAACCCTGCCATTTTCCCCGACCGAGAATTTCGATTCTCTGTGCAAGTACCTGATGCATGCGGAGTAGAAAGATGCATGCACTTCACAGATGACTCCAGTCCCCAGCAAAAATTGGTGCTGCACCACCAAATGCCACCAAGCACAGTTAGCGAGAGCGAGTCGGGAAGCAAGGATGAGGCTGCGGACCTTGTGAGGATCACCTACTGTGTCCTCATCACAATCTGGCAAGATGGGCACATCAAGACCCACAAAATCCTCCCAATTCTCATCAAGCCAAAGCTCCAGCTGCTCTCCTTCCCAACGAGTGAGCAGAGTGGCGGCGAGATCTACGTGGAGAAGGAGTGGAACGACCTCGGCTCCCTTCGCGTGGAGGTATACTGCCCCGACAACTGCCATCTGGCGTGGCCTCCCAAGGCTAAAAACGTCCCCATCAACCTGGTTGTGAAGCTTTGCTTCAACCCAATCCACCCGGCGTGGGGGCTGCCCCCAATGAGCGAAATGAGCACCAAGCTCATCGCAGAGACGGCCTTCCAAAGGGCAGAGCCCAGGGAGGGCAAAAAATGGACCAAGTCACAGGTCCTAAGCGCCACCACCTTCTCGGTTGGCACTGTTTCCTGGGTGTGGTCCTCCCAGTCTTTGACTGGAGGATTTGAGTACGTTGCCTGGGTGCCCGTGCCTCTCCAATTGCCCCTCGGGGAGAATATGCTGACTTCGTTCAAGTCATGCATTGCTGGACGTGAGTTTGCCGCTCACGTCGGCTTCGTCTTCGGCCTCGGTGCGGGCAAAGATGTTGATGTGGTGGTGCCCATCAGCATCGAGCCTTGCATCGAGGTCACCACGGCCCACTGAGGGGCCAATGATTTTTTTGAGAGGAGGGGCGGTGGTCCCTTTACGTATTAATTCGAGGATGTTGTGAAAGTACTGTAAGATTCTTGTGAGACGAATGTAAGAGTTATGTGAATGGCAATTGTCAGAAAACACGCCCGCCTCTGATTAAAAGCGTAGGGGAAGAGGTATAAGAGCCTAAAGTGACTTGGTTCTGATCTCAAGTAAGTGAAAAATAAGTCTAGTTAGACTCAAATCTTCTGATATTTAACATCCCAATCTAATGCTTGACTGAGTGAAAGGGTGCTAAGTTGTATCCTCGCAACTGATTGTATATGCGTAAGAATAGCCTTCAAAAATTATTGATCGAGAAGTTCATAGACCATACATAGCTACACTATCTAGGAATAGACTATGCACCAAAGTGAGAAGCCCTAAGAGCGAGACGTGCACACTAGTCTCTAGCAGAATAGGGTACACGAGAAACCACAACAACAAGAACATGGCAACCTGCTAGTACCAGCCAATTTAACTTAAAGTGCACAGTAGAGGACGGATGCTTTGATAATCTTGCGTAGGATAGTGACATCCATTGGATATAAATTTGGAAGCTATCTACTAAAGAGACCTTCCAGACCTTCCACGTTCAGATCCCAATAACAAAACCAATGAAGTCTGAGAGATGCTCCTTCTTGAAGCCATCCAGCCTAATTGTGTCTTTCATCCCAGAGGTCTGCCGCGTCCGTACCAAAGGCAACCCGAATCTGAGCAAATGAGAAATCCTGGAGTGTTTGAGGCTCGGGGTTTGGGTCCGAGATTGGAAGACTGTCTGGATGATTTTGAGAGAATAGAAACAGCTTTCCGAAGAGCTTAGCGAGGTGAGCTCCACGGCTGGTATCCAACCTGGAAAGTGCGATGTCATTTGCGAAAGGAGCCATACCCATAAATAAAGTTCTACCAAATTACTAGCGTGATGACAATATTTGAAGGCTCTTTCTTGATATTTATCCTTCAAGCTACATGAGACAATATCAAAGCTTGGTAATACTGTCATCTTGAACGCGGCGATGAAGATTCATTAATGTAGCAAGGGGACTTAGAGGATGAGGATATCCAAACCCGTCAATATCAATAGCAACGTTATCTGGCTGATGTTCACTGGCTCCACCGGCTAAACAAATCGTAGTCAACGACTTATTCACAGCCGGTGCCCAAGTCAGAAAGACAAGCAGCCCAAGAATGCGACTTTGGGCCAGATAAAACAATTGTACTTAGAAGAGGAGATCTCGCCGTGTATTAATGTGTGATCGTGATGCGCAGCCAGACACTCGTGCAATTTCTATTCTTAAGGAACACGCAACGAGCGAAATTATACCTATTTAGGCCCCAGTCAGACTCAACCCGAGGGGTATTATACGTGCAAACAAGGCTTGTATCAAAGAATCGACGTCGGCATTCGCCTAAGTCGATGAAGTTGTTAGCAAAAGTGCATAAGGATTGAAATTTGACACCCAACCACCAGTCGCTAGTTTTATCTCTATTAGGGTTGGATATCGGCAGTCTGCACTTTATCTCCGCGGCCACTGTCACTCCGGAAGCCAGAGGCTTACTGTGAACTTTGCTAATTGGTCTTCTTTTTGGGAGGGTAAACTATCGCTTGTTTTACTTTTTGTGGGACGATGACTGGACTTGGTGCTAGGAAATACCATCTGGAGACTGTCATGCATAAGCATTAAAAATGCACGAGCGCGGTTATCGCTATTAATTTCCCGGATTTGCCCTTCTAGGCGGGATTTTATCGACACCCTTTATGTGAATTACGGGGGTGTGCATCTGATACCATAAGTTGACAGAATAGATATGTCAAAGTCACACGGGATTTACCAGTCGTAAAATGTACTGCTCAAGGTACACAGTTAATTAGAGAAGGTTCAATACCACCCAATTTCCCCCGTACACCTCGGATAGCAAAAGGCGGGGTGAATGCAGGCTAACTCTCGCCTAATACAGTATCGGAAAGCTTAAAGACCCGGCCACCTATTATATCACCCACCGTTCTCATGTCAATTGGCACTAGAGAACACACGATAAAGTCTTTTCTGCACATCTGCCAAAGCACGAGGTACAAAGCCTAGTCCTTCTGGAGAAGTCAATGTTTAGACTGGAACACAGATACAGTCTTGGTTGGCCTTGTGTAACGTTCTCCTGCAGAAGGAGCCGTTTTAGGGTCACGGCAGGGTGTCGAACTAGATTTGGTAGGTCAGGTGTTACAGGTTCTTTGATGAGGCTGTAGCTCGTTATTTCTGGAGTCGCTGTAATGTAGATTCAAATTGGCATCTGTTTCAGCCTCGTGCATCTTGGCATTTCTTTGGCTTCGTACTGCCCATGGACCCCCTTTGTTGCAGAACTGAACGAAGAGTACTTATTGTGTCTCATGGTTTTAATAGTCGGGTGGTCATGCTTCGCAGGAATATATTGACTTGGGGGTCTCATATGTCAGGACTCATGACTGTTCTACTATGTACTAGAGAAAAGCACACACATTAAAAAGGATCTAATTTTGCTGATGTCTCAAACAAAACCAATTGAATTTCATTCTGCGTTGCCTTTCTCGTGTAGACCTCGTATTTATGTGGCGGCGGAGAACACAGACCGCGGCTAAGGCTGGAAATCCGGGGTAAGGACAAACACCGTAGAGATGAGACATCAATGTGTTGTGAGATCAGGTTCCCTCGTATATGGTCATCTGTATCGTACATTCTATTAAAATCCGGTGCTTTGGGTAGCTGTGTCTTGCTATAAATGTGCTGAAGGCAGGTTGACAATCCACTATGTAAACCACCGAGCAACTTCTCTTCCCAAACAAATACTGCCTCTATAGCGATTGAAAGAGAAAAATAAGAAGCAGAGGATCTAAGATGCATCTCTTCACCCTTCTCGTCCTTACCCTCGCCCACTTCACCCTAAGCAGTATGTATCCCACCATCACAACCAACTCATACAACCCCAACCCAGCTAACCAACCCCAGATGCATCAGCCTGCCCAGCACCAGCAGGATGCGGAACCGCACAAGCATGCATCGGAACCGAGTTTTGCACAACAGCAACCTTCGTCTCACCCACGACAACAACAATAACAACCTGCGTGCCAACAGCCACCTGCGCAGGAGTTTACTGTAAGTGCATACATGCCAAGAGACAGAGACCGAGACCGAGACCGAGACCCCGTACATAACCCAATCAAAGTATCAAACCTATCTAACTACATACACGTATATTTGCAACAGCACCCTGCCAAGCAGGCGGCCCAGGTCCAACTTGTTGCTCGGGATACTGCGCAGCAACTCGGTGCCGATCGACCGATGACACTTACCCGTTCTGTAGTGAGGATAATGGACCTTGTGTTGTGGATGACCATTGCTGTTATGGGAATATTTGTAGGCATGGGATTTGTTCAAGGCCTTGATGAGATTGGTAAGGATAAGGGTATCGGTCGCTGGAGGGGTTTGTTATGCACGTTTGGTAGTATATTGTTATTTAGGAATGTCTATTCCGTATTTGTATTTCTACAGTATATGACGTCGAGGCTATTTTTGACGCTGTAGGTTCTTGCGGAATGGGTTATTCGAGCATCCTATCAGAGGTAGCAGGGGCATCGGCTTTCTCACTGGACGCCCTAGGCCTAGGGGGCCTTACGAGGATTGAAAGGCCTGACTTTGATTATCTCAGTGGAGATGACAGCACCGTATGCACCCGTGACCACCTCGGTTCCGGTTGAATATTCCATCACTTGATCTTCGGGTATGCACCCGAGATGACCTAGCAATCACCTTCTCGATATAGCTAGCTTGGACGCGTCGACGGTGTGGTAACACGATCAAAGACGATTGTCGCGATCGCCGTTACATATAGCTTTTGTCAGGCGTGAGTAGTGTCGATGTCGATCACTGCGGCTACGGCGATATAGTTGCTTTTGTCAGGGCAGGGTGGCGAGTGCTGCGGCTGCGGCGCAGAATACCTGACTAGGTACGTTAGGGGGCGGAGTGGAGGTGTTGTTTTTGGCATGGTCCGATGGGGCCATTTTGGTTTTGGTGTTCGGTGTGGAGGAGATGAAAATAGAAAGTAAAGTGGCTGGGTTAGTACGGAGATTATTGTTATTAAGTGCAATGTCGGATTTGGAATAAGTTAGTACTGTAAAGTGAAATGATGTTTCCCGGGCAGACATCCGGACCCAATGCAGGACATGGGACATGGGGGCCCTTTAACAATTGCATGCCGATCAGGATTGAGCAAGGATGCAGGGCTATTTCCCCTTGTCTCAGACTACACCGCAAGGGGATCCACGTCTCTTCGGCTTCTTACTTAGTTTTCTGTAGATGTTTGCCACAGCGTCATCCAGTAAGAATGTGAATCGTGATCGGATCGAGCAGACTCGAAGTGACTGGTAATACTGTACAGTGTGACGACTTGACCTGTGAAACCAGAGCCAATAGTCGGGGAATGGATTTCTTTTTTCTGACTAGCATACGTTAGGCTATATTACCTGCCCGAGACCTAAAAGGAGTAAGAGTCCGGAGGCCCACTGTTACACCTGCCTACAGGTGGACGAAAGGCAAAAGGGCTGGCATTCTTGGGAGCCAGAAAAGGTCCGAGTGATCGTCGAGGGATTTGGTATGTTGGAATATCCAGTTTTAAGTGTTTCAAGTTTTTCAAGTTCTTTTAGAGTCGGGGTGGACTAAGTCATTACCTGGGTAACTAAAAGTACAAAGGAACGTTGAGTAATAAAGAGAAATAAAGAGAATAAGTTATAAGTTAATATACCGAGTAACGCCCGGCCACACCCGTAAGTCTGGACTCGGGCTTTCTCCTCACGGTATCCGGTATTATTGTATTCTTTGGCTACGGGCTAGAGAAGAAAAAAGGGAAAAAAAGAAAAAGTAGAAAGAGAAACAAAGTAGAGACAAAAGAAAGAATATACTACAGCTTACAAGTACAACTTTAACTACTACTACAACTACACGACAAATAAAGAGTAAAGAAAGAAGAAGCAAGACAAGAATCTATTTTCAACTGTGTAATAGTGTAATATAACGGGCCCCTGTAATTTTACCATCTGTCAGCTCTCCCCACTCTCCACTTCGCCGTGGCTCCCTCTCTTCTCTTCCTCTCACTCTCACTTCTACCTGCATTGCTCATATCACATAGCATCCTATTCTATTCTATTCATTCCTTGATCTTATGGCGTATGGTTGTGCCTCTCTCCGTGCAGTTGGCCGCCTGACCTGCAGCTCTCACGCTGCCATCCGACCCTGCTCACCTCGACCTCTCCCTTCCTCTTGACCTCATGTCTACCAGCCTAGAGATTCCTCAGTCTGGACTGGCTCTCCGCTCAGGAGACCAGTCCGGAGATCCTTCCAAGCCGAGTCAGATCATGCGGTTAAACCTGGTGCAGAGCACCCTCGATGATCTGATTCAGAGCCTCCGGAAGGATCAACCGGTCCGAGTTCGCCTAGGAAAACATCCATCCATTCATTATGGGGGCAAATCCCAATCCTTCCATGCGTATCCCGAAACCCACCGATCCGAGATCTACCATAGCTCCGACGATAAACAAACCTTGTACTTTACGGGGGTCTTGAGCCATAGCCTGGAGGTGGAAAAGGCTAAAAGTGCTACTGCGGCTACGGATCAGGCACTGGCCAATCTGGAGGAAAGTTTGAATGCATTTGAGAGGGGAAAGGAGTCAAAAAAGACGCACATTATCTCTCACCCAGATGAGCTGAAAGGGTTTCGGGGTTCCAAATCTGGCCTCAAAGCTCCAACAAGCAAAGTCGAACTGGAGAAAGATAGGTTCCTCAAAGCTGCCCGCTCTTCTGCTTCTGCCAGTCCCACCTTCCCTCCCAAATCTCCCTCCCTTGCCATGGGTCCTACATCAGCTCCGATGTCGCAAGCCAAGCATAACCCGAGGCTGGCTGCCCTCAAGAAGCCTTTGATCCATGTTCTGGCCATTCGGGCTGTTTCCATCCGGTATCTCGCCCAAACAACTCGCTCCTTGTCCGAAGACTGCCTCATGCTCGCCGAGAAGTACGGCCTCCAGCACCGCCTCGACACGACCAAGTACCACCTCAAGGACAAGTTTTACAAAGATCTCGACGTTTGGGAATTCAAATTCCCCAGTGAGGATGATCGCAAATCTGCCATTGACAACTGTATTGGCGCCTTCGATCGCATGCGCCTGGAACGGAGTGATCCCGCCTGGCAGATGATTCTGCCCGAAGCCGAACGCGGCAAGGGAACCTGCCTCTCTCGTCTGAAGCTGCGCACTGCTCCTGCCAAGGTCGATGCGAGCAAAGCAGATAAGAAGGAGCCCAAGAAGGAACCCGCCAAGGCAGGCGCGACCCAGAAGCCCCGTCCCTTGGACAAGCGGGTCAAGGCCAAGACCGCCAACAACACTACCCTCACTGGCCGAGTTACCAAGAAAACCGTTGCGAAGCCTGCTACCAAGGTCGACAGCAAGATCAAGTCTGCTGAATTTGTCAACAGCTCTGATGACGACGATGAAGATGCGACCATGTCTGACGCTCCCGCTCCCGCTCCCGCTTCCGCCCCCAAGAAGCCGCCGCAAGGACACCAGCGAACTCCATCCGCTGCGAAGCCCCAGGCACCCAAGCCTCGTGCTGCTGAGACTCCATCTGCTGCTTCCAAGGTCCCTAAGGCCGAGGCCCCGAAGCCCAAGCTCGAGCCAACCAAGCCAGCCACCAAGGTTGCAGCCTCCAAGCGCCCTCCGTCTCGTCCTTCCACCTCACCCCAGAAGCCGTCCCCTCTCGGCTCGTCTCCTCCTGCAAATGCATCGAATACTACTGGTCGCAATCGTTCCGACAGTCAGAACCAATCCTCTGGATCCTCCTCGTCTTCACCTCTGATTGCTCAGTCGGCTCGCAACAAGGTCGCTCGTCCTGCTCCCGTCGCCACCAAGCCTGCACAGACCAACGGTGTCAAGAAAGTGCCCGCTGCCAACCCTTTGAAACGCAAGGCGGACTCTGACCGACTGTCTGCGCCTCACGCTACTGCTGGACGTCCCACCAGTGACCTGGAGGCTAAGCGTCGCCGTGCCGCCAGCCCTTCCAGCGGTGGAAGCACCGGCAGCGCATCCCCTCCCATGAGCCACGATCTCCTGCGCCAACAGCTCCGCGAAAAATCCCAGACATTCAAACAGTACTACACCAAGTACCGCTCCTTGCATGACTCCCTGGCGGCCCTTGCCGACCCCGCGCCAGCTGATCTGGAGCGACTGCAGCGCCAGCACAACCGCCTGCGCCGCATGAAGAAGGAGATCTGGGACGAAGACCGGCAGCTCCGTGACGGTCTTCGCTCTTGATATGATCTTATCTTTTCCATCTGCATAACCATTCTGCATGGTTGTCCTCGAATGAACCGACAGCACCAGCGCCTGATTTTCCGTTTTTCTTTTCATTATCGTTTATATTTGCATTCTATCCCCCCCATCGCATTCCTGGAATTATTTTCGCATCTTTATGATTTCCTTTTCATATGTCCTGGACACCGCATTCGACAGCAGAATGCCCTGGTCCAGAAGTACACAAACATCGGATGGGTAAAGACCCTCAAACAAATAAGCAAATAAGAATATCATTATTATGTGCCTCTTCCATACAGTAGTTTGCCAATTGATCTTCGCTTTACCCCAGATCGCCCTGCTAGTCCCACTTCACCTAGTGGGCTACCCGTATCACCTCTGATTGGCTGACTGGCAACGTGGCAGAATCACGGGATGAGACTGCAAAGTAAGCAGACTCACATGATTGTCCCACGTCATTTTATAATTACCACGCTAGTCCAGATCAGGGATAGTCTCACAGACATTCGAACTTGTTGGCTCGGAGCATCATACATTGCAGGTTGCACCCACGGCCAATTTCCCACCCCAGTCTGGTGATTCTCACCTCGAATTCTCCTAACAATTCTCATATTGCCCAGGAGCACGCTCTCCAGGCTCATTTGACAATGACGCCCCCTGCCCGAGGTCGGGGGACTAGCCAACGCAGCCCGACCGTCTTGGTACGATAGTCCCGACTCCCAATGCACCCAATTGATACGAGCTCTACTAACACATGTTCCAACCACCAGGTCACAGATTCCCGCGACCAGCAACCCCCTTCAACCGCCCGACGCCGGCGCTCCCCCGCAACCCGCTTCATCACCGTAGACAACGTCCTCCAATATGCTTCAGACGTCCCCTCAATGCAGCAACGCGGCCCACCACCAACCTCAAGATCCCGACGCCTCGCATCCGCCGCTGGCAGCCTGATCGGCAGCTCGGGAAGCAGCAGTTCCAGTGCCGTCGCATCAGCCGCTGGCAAAGCCGGCCGACTAGCCGCACAGCCGCGTCTCCCACCACGAACAACGAAAGTCAGCGAGAAGCTAGTCCTCCTGCCCGACACGGGTGAGCTAGGTGAAGCCGAGATCGACGACGAGGACTATGTGCCCGAGGACCACGCGGATCTCGTGGACGAAGAGGTCGTCGCTCGTATTGCCCGGGAGAAAAATGTCGATCCGGAAATGGTGAGGCATCAATTGCTTGTGCAGAAGCGGCTTGGTGGGGATTTCGGTGTTGATAATGATATTGCGCCGTTGCTTGCTGAGGAGGAGATTCTAAGGAAACGTCGTGTTGCGCCGGAGCGTGCGAAGAGTTATGCGGAGCGGTTGCCGAAGGCGCGTCGGACGGAGAAGCTGGCTCGTGTTACAGCTTATTGTACCGCTCAGGCTTATAAGATGGGATCGCTTGCTTCTTTTGTTAAGGAGTGGCATGGTGGACGGACGAAGCTTTATGATGATTGTCTGTATACGGCTTATCATCTGCCGCTTTTGCCCGGTCATGAGGGTTATCGGTTGCGAAGTAGCCCTGTGTTGAAGTATCCTGGTGGGAAATCACTGCTGGATGAGGAGATTGAGCGCAATGAACTTCGTGATCATCATGATGATTTCGGGGTCGAGGCTGAGGAGCATTCTGTCGGTGGGCGGAATCGTCCTGATGAGGAGCATCATTATGAGGCTTCACCGGGAGACTCGGGTGTTCACAGTTCTCATGAGGAGCATCGGGAGGAGTTCCTGAACCGTATCTCTGAGGAGGCTCATCGCCTGCCAGACGAGCATGAGCATGCTGCCAGCTCTGGCGAGAGCGTGGATAGGCTGCAGCATATTCCACAGTCCAATGGCACAGAGGAGAACCGGCCGCCATCGCCTGAGCCTGCTGTCCGCCGTCGTCGACACAGCACCGATGACAGCCATGCTTTACTCCGAGACCGTCCCTCCCCACCACTCCATGCAACATCCGCGCCATCATCAACACCTCAAGCCCCAGCCCGCACCTTGTACAACGTCGCCGAGATGTTCGTCTTCAGCTACGGCGTCGTCGTCTTCTGGAACTTCACAGAACGTCAAGAGAAGGATCTCCTCGCCGATCTGGCATTCGCTACATCCTCCGTAACGGGCATCCCCGTCCCATTGGCGACAATGCCGCTCGACGAAGAAGACTTTGAGACAGAGGAATTCCACTTCGAATACTCGACCGAGATCCTCCGTCCCCGTGTCTACAATGACATGATCACCCTCCGCAGTGGCGACCACATGATCAAACTCGCTATCAGTCATGGCATAGCCCAAAGTACGAAGCTATGCTTCTTCGAAGAAGTCATGGCCCGCCAAATGGATGATGCAAAGGACGTCCCGAGACGACTCGCCGTCACAGGCCAACTAGGCATGAAACGCGAAGAAGTCTTCCGAATCCTAGGCCGGCTATTCAAAAGTCGTGTCGAAGTCAACCTTTGTAAGTTCTCTTTTCTTAACAACCCCCCAACATCAACTACGTACTAATAATAATCACCAGCATCAAACATGCTCGACGTCCCGAACTTCTTCTGGGAAAGCGAACCAACCCTCTACCCCCTCTACATCGCCGTACGCGAATACCTCGAAATCAAACCCCGAATCCAAGTCCTCAACGAACGATGCCGCGTCTTCTTAGATCTCGCTGAGATTCTATCTGACTCGATAGCTGATAACCGCACTTCCCGTACGTCTACCCTTACCCTTAACCCCCAATCCCATCTCCACCCTCCTATCCAATATCCAATACTAACAAACAAACCCAGACCAAACATGGATCATCATCGTCCTAATCATCATCTCTATCATTGTCACAATGGCCGAAGTCTTCCTTCGCTTTGGTCTGCTACACGCTCGCGAAGGTGAAGGCGCTGTCGGTACACCGGCTGGTATCATTGCCCGCGCTATGGGACGGTCTGTTCCGTCTCCGGCGTCTGGTTGGTATCCGGCTAATATGCCTGCTGGGTGTGTTTGTCCTTCTATGGGGACTGGTGTTAATGGTGCGGAGATAGGTATTAGTGGGATGATGGGGCTTTGATTTGTTTGTTTGCTCTTTTATTCTTTCATGCTATCACCTTTGAGAGGTTGAGATTGAGATTGAGGATGCAGATTTTGAGCACAAAACGGGTTCTGTATTGGCGTGTACTGGTGTTATTTTTTAGGGCTGGATTGGACCGGATTCATGTGACTTGACTCGACCTCGTCTCTTATTTCGATTGCATATTATCGAACTGCTTGTTAATACATACTCTGTTATCATCCGTCAACTATCTCATTACCTTCCCACCCTATTAATTACCAACTACTACAACTCCGCATTCCTCTACAGCATATTAATTTACTGTCAGTAGATCATAGTAAAAGAATCCAAAATCCCCGTTATAACGGACAATGCTAAATATGAAACACAGAGACATTAGATATCAGTACAAAGGGCCCGAAATCCGGTGAGTCAATGTGAATGACACAAGGAAACCCATTATGTTACACCCCGCTACGTTCGTTTTATCGTATCTATCCCTCGATTTTTCTTCGTGTATCCGGTTATTTCCCTTTCCTTGGAAGAAATCACTTTAACCGGTGATCTTGAAGATGGACTCGGCGAGTCTGCCGACGTTGCCGGAGGTGATACCGGCGACGGAGATACGGCCGTCCTTGGTGGCGTAGACGGAGTGCTGGAGATTAGATTATGTTAGGAGTTGTTCTTGTTTAGGTGAGGGGGGGAGGGTGAGGTTTTAAGGATAGGTGCTTACCTCCTTGGCGAGGGCGTCCATCTGCTCGGGCTTCAGGCCTGTGTAGGCGAACATACCGATCTGGAACGGTCTTTGTTAGGTACTAAACTCGATGTAGAAATGTTGCTATATCTTACCTGGCTGGTGATGTGGGACCAGTCGTGCTTGCTGCCAAGCTTCTCGAGGTTGGTGCGGAGGAGGGAGCGCATCTCAATGATGCGGTCGGCCATGCCCTTGACCTCGCCGAGCCACTGCTGGTTGAGGGCTGGGTCGTTCATGATGGTGGAGGCGACGCGGGCACCGTGGATGGGAGGGTTGGAGTATTGGGGACGGATGAGAATCTTGATCTGAGACTCGACGCGCTTCTTCTCCTCGGTGTTCTCGCAGACGAGGGAGAAGGCACCAACACGCTCACCGTACAGACCCTACCGTCTGGTTAGCTGTTTTCTCTTTAATATGAGAGGTGGGAGGTTGATCTCACCATGTTCTTGGCGAAGGACTGGCACAGAGCGATGTTGTGGCCCTCCTTGACAAAGTGACGAGGAGCAAAGGCATCCTTGTCAGCGTTACCGCTGGCAAAGCCCTGGTAGGCCATGTCGAAGAAGGCGAAGTGGCCCTTCTCCTTCATGACATCGCTGATCTGGCGCCACTGAGCCTCGGTAGGGTCAACACCGGTAGGGTTGTGAGCGCAAGCGTGGAGCAGGATGATGCTGCTCTCTGGGGCGTTCTTGATATCGGCGATCAGACCATCAAAGTCCAGACCGATGGTGTCCTTGTTGTAGTAGCTGTAGTTGGCAACCTCAAGACCAGCATCGGTGAAGACGGCCTTGTGGTTGGCCCAGCTGGGGGTGGGGAGGTAGATCTTCTTTGCGCCGGGGTAGAAGCGCTTGAGGAAAGATCCGCCGATGCGGAGGGCACCGGTTCCAGAGATGGTCTGGGTGATGACGAGGCGGTCGTCCTTGATGGCGGAGGAGTCGGCGCCGTAGGCGAGCTCGGCGGCGGCGCTGGTAAAGGCGGGGATACCGGTGATGCCAGCGTACTCCTTGTCGAGGCGCGATGCGACGACCTTGTCCTCGGCGGCGCGGACGGAAGGCAGGACGTAGGGCTTGCCCTTGTCGTCACCTGAAATTCAATTGTGTTAGCTATCCATTGCGCGAAGCTCGCTGGTGATGGCAGTCGAGGCTTACGGTAAGCACCAACACCCAGGTTGATCTTCTCCTTGAAGGAGTCGGCCTTGAAAGCTTCGGTGATACCGAGAATAGCATCCTATTGACCCAATTAAGTCAGAAGAGGCCCTTTAACCCATCATTGTTGATGATGGCAAGCTCCGAATCAAAGCTTACGGGAGGACCCTGGGGAACGTTAGCCCAGGCCGAGGCCTGTCTAGCTCCGAGGACGACGGTGCGCTTGTTGGCCTGGGGGGCAGCCGAGCGGCTGGCAACTCTGAGAGTGGAGAGCATGATGATGGCAGGAAAAATCAAAAGGCGAAACCTCTAAGAATGGAGATGGGGAAAGGAAAGAACCGGGAGGAGAGAAATAATAAAGGATCGGAGAGGTAGTCCCGATGTTTTTGCTTGACTCATGTGATGACGGTACCGGGTACCTGCCCTGTGGTATGTTCCCCTGGCGCGGCCCAGGTACCAGGTACACCCCCGAGAAATGCGAGAATTAACCCCGGGTAAATAGAATTATACACAAATGCAAGGTATTAACTTACTGTTTTACTGTAGCTGTACTATTGGACTATTGCACTACTACAATGTATTCATTATAATTGCCTTCAATTGCAGCTATCTACCCTCTAAAGTGGGTTATACCTTACCCTACCCTAACCCATCCATATCGACTCTATTCAGCTTCACATCAGCCCATCCTTTTGCACGCCATTCGGGAATTCGAATGCCCGGTGAACTGATTGAGGAGAAACTCCACACTTCCCCTCACGCAGTCGGGGTACACTTGTCGCTGCCACGTACGTAACTTAGTGCTGTGTTTCGGGGAGATCAATCCCTTGCTCGGTGCTAACTAGCGAATACAAACCCCCGGTTAATTTGTGTGGGAAATCCCGCATTCTCCCCCCCCCACAGAGATCGAATCTTACGTTTACACTAATGTCGGCAGGACATGACAGAAGCGGCTAAGGTGAACTTATTCAATTGGGATATCGTAGCAGCTTAATTCTATACATTAAAAAGAAGCTTCAACCCAAACGCACTCCAGCCTGGCGGTTCTTGCGCGCAGCAGTTCCCACAGCGTTATTCATACCGGTGTGTTGACTACTGTCCAGAGTGCTCATGGCCTCGCGTTTCTTTTCTTCGTCGATCTTCTTCAGGCGCTTCTCGGTCTTCATCTTGCCACTGCCCTTGCCGTGGAACTGGTGACTGAGTTGCTTGAAGGCCTCTTTCTGGTTCATGTTGCGACCAAATTCATCCACGTAGCGCAGCTGAACATCGGGTTTGTACTGCTTGTTAAATGCCTCGGCAGTATGGCGCGCCTCTTGCTGGTCACGGTGCTTGTTCTCCCATTGTGCGTACTCATCGCGCTCACGGGCTGACATGCCGTCCAGCTTACCAGAGGCGCGGTCTCGCTCACGCTGTTGCCGGGCACGTCTCTCGGCTTCGGACTCGCGGTTATTCTTTTCCTGCAAGAAGCGCTGGCGGTCGCGCATGAGCGCGTTTTGACTGCTGCTGTCGCTGTCTTTCACTAGACCACGTGATTTCAACATCGACAAAGTAGCACCCAGACCCTGGTCCAGAGTAGATTCCTCTTCCAATCCGGTGCCGGTAAGATGTTGTTGTGGCTCAACCTTGGCTTGTTGATCACGCTTGATTTGCGCTGCCAGCTCATCTTCGTCTTCGATGTGGCCATAACGGTCCATATCCACTTCCACGCCCTCTGTCTCGGGCTCGGGCTGGGGTTCGGCGGATTTCTCCGCAGCGGGAATTGATGTATGTCTCTCGTCACGTTCGGGGAGTGTAGGCTTTTGTAGATTCGACACAAACTCGGAGGTCTCGTCGATAACGAGGCCCGGTCCTTCCTCGTCCTCGTTTTCTACCTCCATTGGAGTCTGTTCTTCCTCTTCTCGAAGTTGTCGGGCGAGTTCCTCGGGGCTAATCTTCTTGCGCTTCTTAAATGCTGCGCGCCGTTGCAAGGCAAGAGAAGCTTGGAGATCGTCATCATCGACGAAAGAGACATCTTGGTTGGCGGGTTTGCGGGGGGGAGCAACTGGAACCCCATCCTTGAAATCAATATCCATGGCCGAACCCTGAGCTGCTGACTCTGAAGGGGCATTATCATCGTAGTCCATGACGGCTCTCTGTTTCGTCGCCTTGGCCTTCTTTTTCTTAGGCTTCTTAATTTTGACCTCGCTGATGTCCATGTAATCAGATGACGGCACTTCGGGCTCAAAATCGAGGCTGAAAACATTCTTCTTCAGGCGATCAGAAACCTCCTGTCGCTTTGCTTCACGTTCCTCCTCGGTCGAGCCTTGGGCGTCGAGTGTAAATCGCTTGCGCTTCTTGCCGTCAATCTCCTCGTCGTACTGTGAAAGTATACCTTGGTTCTCGGCTGTAGGATCGTAAACGGGCTTCTTCTTCTTAAGCTCCAGCTTCTCCTCCGTCTTTTCCTTCTCAACCAAGTTGATATCCTGGAGCTCATCGCCCTCATCCTCATCATCCACCGCAGCATCCTTCAGTGTCAAGATGTGATCTTCACCACCATCGAAATCTCCAGCAGAGTGTCCAACCTTGATACCAGCGAGATCGGCTGCGGTATACTCAGCGGCCGCGGCGCGTTCCCGCTCTTCCAGTTCCTCGGCGAGTTTGCGAGCGCGTTCCTTTTCGATTTTCTTCGAGCGCTTCTTAGATTGCATTAACCAAGACTTGGTATCGAGTTCATCTCCATTCGCCTCTCCCAGTGTAGATCCTTCGAGCTTGAGGTTCCGCTGGGCGATATCGCGCGCGCGCTTGATGGCGGCGTTCCTTTCTTCGCGCTTCCGTTTCGCTTCGGCGTCATCTTGGAGTTTCTTCCAGTTATCGTATCCTGCCGCCTGTCGCGTCTCAACTGTGCTCGCGGCCTCTTCCTCCTCGCCGGAGTCGCTGTCGTCTTCTTTGAATTCAGGTCCGGCGCCAGGGACAGGGAGTGGCTTGAGACCCAAGGCCACACGGATCTTGTTGTTTTGCTCAATGGATAGAGCGTCCGCCATTTTGACGGCGAAGCAAAAAAAAAAGAAAAGTGAGGACTGGAGAAAGTAATGATGTCGCCCCAAGTGCCGCGCTCTATCCTGATACCATATCACCTGACTGATAGCACTATTCCCAAAGCGGACTAGCGCATCAAAAATCTTAGGCCATAAATATCAGCCCTCCCGCCCTCCTCTTCTCTTCTTCTTTTCTTCACCAAAACACGGATCTGTGTCCAGCTTTCCTGTCCACGAACTCCTTCGGGTTTTTGTGTGATGGTTGAGAGCTGGGCAATTCAACGACATTGGAGCCATCATTTTTCGCGTGGATGGCACTTACGGTTTCCGGTTGACAGATCTCAGATTAAATGTCTGCGCCTTGTGACGCGGGTCTTGAGCTCCCACTGGTGAGCTCGGCTCGATAGCTTGGTTGCGGACGGCGTCATATTCCTAATCTCTTTGCCGATTGGCCGTTGGCCGCTGAGGCTAGGGAATAACCATGACCAGCCAACATCTCTATTTAGCTATGTAGTGTTTTGTAGACATGCCACTGGCTTTCCTCTGCGTTCCCTAGGAAACTGTCTCCAGATTTTACCAACGCATGCGTTGCACTCGATACGATGCGCTCAAGCTACATGCTTGCTGCAGAGGATCCACTGAAAAGCTCGTCATTGGGGTCATGATCATAATTGCCTATGCAAAACGCCTATACACAACGAGGGCGAGGGCAAAGTAGTTTACAACAGCTTCAAGTGTCCCGTCACGCCGTCAACAACACTCTTGGGTCCTAGAATTCCCAACACGGTCTTGCTACCGCTAGCAATCTGAGTGCGACCAGCATCCTGGATAACGCGCGCGCAAAGTCCAAGGCTCATAGCCTGGGCCTGCATAACGAGAACCTCATCCTCAGACTTAACCTGCAGCGCGATCTTGGCTTGGCCACCGCGCTCCCATCTCCGGAGGATGGCCGAGTCAGGCGCGTATTCGAGGAAGTATTTGTAGCAAGCGAGGGTAGCATGGGAGCATTGAGCGGCGATTTTGCCTGTCAAAAAAAATGAGAATGTTAGCAATCTGTAGCGTGACCGCGAAAAAAAGACCAAAAGGCCAGTCCAGAGAGCGCATCGCATACCCTTGGTCATGCCCAAGTCCATCCGGACGACCAGAACAAGCTTCACTTCCTCAGTGTTGTCCTTAAAGCTGGCTAGTTCTTCGCCATTGCCTTCGTCTTCCGAGTCGCTCTCTTCTTCGGATTCTTCTTCCTCTTCGTCTGAGGAGTGGCTGTGGACCTTCACATTGTAGCTGTTTGGCCAGCCTTCCTTCTCTTTGAAGAGGTTGAGCGAGGAGCCTTGGCCGATGAAGTAGCCGGTGACACCTGCAATAATGGCTGTTGCGATCACGTAGGCGGTCGTCGTTGGGGGTATGCGATCGAGAGGTACTGGGGCAGCCATTTTGATTTGGTGGGTGGTTGTTGGGATATCGGCGTTCACTGACGGAATAATTTTTGAGGGGAGCTCGACCGCCCTGGATTTGATATGTCCCTTCTATCCCATGCTACGGCTTTCAAGTCTACACCACTAAATATTTTCCAAAACAAAGTGGAATCCCATTTTTAAAACTCGGGCGATAGATGTCCTGGGTTTAAGCGTCCTTCCAACTGTTTCTTTGAGCCGCCAATCGTCACCATCAACGAGGAAACAGTTCTATAACGCCGGTCTCGTACATAACCTGTATATTGGTTCGTCTAAGTAAATACAATTTAATCAATGTACAAGGATATCCAAAAACTCAATATTTCCTCCCAGTTTACCTTGCGATTTAAGACACTGCAACGGATGCTTCCATGTCAAAGTAGCCAACCCCATTGAAACCCCATTCTATAACCCAAATCAAGACATGTCAGAAGCAGAATTCTCAGAAATGATCCGGTATGATGTCTGCACCTCAGGAGCCAACCCCTTCAACAACGAAGCAAGCTCATCAGCAGCAACAACAAGAGCCTCGTCAGAAAGCGGCTTCAAAGCATCGAGAATAAACAGAACACGCGTAGTCTCATCTGTCAACGCAGTCCGCGGTCCCTGTCTCCAATTCCAACGACGACAAGTAATCCCAGTCTGATCACACCAAATCGGCTCACCAGGCGCAGCAAGTTCTTTCAGAGCTTCCCCACTAGAAAACGTCTGGAATTCCTCCTGGCCAGTAGCACGCATCAGAAAGGGCGTCCCATCGTACTTATCGAGGTCTTCGCCGCCAAGTGGGATCTGATGCTTGACAGAGATGGAATTGTAGATGTCCGTTAACCGATTGACTCGCGGTAATCCGCCCTCCGCGCGACGTGTCAATGCTTCGAGGCTATTGCGGGTCTTTTGGGGCTTTGCTCCGAAGGCTTTGTAGGCTTCTCTCCAGGCGGCTATGTGGGGGAGTTCTGTGACCGCGGATTTGGAGAGTTGTTGTTTGATGCTGGTTTCGGCTTCTTGGAGGAGGGCTTCGCTGTTGGAATCGCTTGCGCCTGGGGGTATGCCTTCGGCTACCATTAAGAGGGCGCGGTAGTCGGGGCGTAGCTGGAAGATTTGTGGGGATATATGTGCTGCTTCGAGCATCTTCTGTGCGGTGTGTGTCACGCCCATGGCTGAAAAGAAGATGTTGAGGTTGGGTTGTGTGAATTGCTGAGAGGCTGTGAAAGCTGTAACAGTAAATAAAGAGTGAAGAGAACTTGATGAATATCAGAAATTGGGGAAGAATTGCTTCGTAGATATAGTAGGCTGTGGGGCAAGCCTGACCCTATAGGTGTATGTCCTTTGAGAATGAAACATTGGAACCTTCAAAATTTTTTCAGCAGAGCATAGATTGCCGTGGATTTCCATAGAAGCTTTGTGCCTAACCTTCGAGAATCTGGAAAAGAAGACAAAATAAGCAGTGTATACTGGGTAGTCTATAAATTTTTAACTATATTGGCCCCACTCCCTTCAAGTTCCTAATGAGGGAAATAGTGGGTCCCTAGGACGCTGGATATAGAAGTTGCGAGGAGAGGAATGAGGCCAACTCTCTGTTTTTAATGGTATGGTAAAAGGGATTTTATAATTATACGACTTAAGAAGTTAAGTGATTTTATTGACATGTGGTAAGACCTGCAATATTCAAGTAGTGTCCAATGGAACCCCTATAAGTTATAGTAATTCCTATGCAGCCTTACATATTACGGGTGTACCACCAATTACAAAAAAAGGAAAAAGGTAGCAACTCGATTATCAAAAGTCGGCAAGAGATGAATCAGAGCATGAAGAATCTCCTCAAAGCGGACTAAGATACGCTTTACAGTATATGCATTACTACGATCTAGTGAATCGGACTGAAACTTGGAAAACTATGTGCAATTTGAAAAGGACCTGGATCACGATACCAACCCAGGTAAGGTAAGGACAGCTAGTGTAGTAACCCGGCAAGAGACGTTTTCAGGATGGCCGAGTTGAAAATAATACAAGGAAAGGAGAAGCGGAATGCATTGAAAGACTTATGCTTTGTACAAAGTGTCCAAGAAGCCCTCCGCCAGACGGCTGACGACGCTCTTATCGGGAATGCTGCCAGCCACACCATACAAGGCGGAGGTCTCACCACGCTTGAGGATGTAGGCCTTGCCCTGACTGCGACGCTCCTCGGCCTTCTCGAGCTCCTTGCCGATGACTTCGGCTAGATCAGCAATGAGGTGGTCGACGGCCTTGGCGGTTGGGATGGTGAAGGCGACGTGGATGGCGGCCGGGGACTGGAGGGCGTTGAGGTGCCAGCCCTTGGCGGAGAGATCGTCGGCGATGTCGTAGATGTCGATGGCGCCGTTCTTGCTGCGGAAGGCGACTACGCTGACGATGGGGTTGCCGATGACTTCCATGTGCAGGGAGATGGTTGAGTCGGTGCGGACGGCTGTCTCGAACTTGCGGGCTGCGTTGATGATCTCGGTACAGCTGTTGATGTAGCCGGTCTCACCGATGCTCATCAAACTGGCCCAGCAGCCTGCGATCAGAGCACCAGGGCGAGAGCCTGCCACGGAGGGCGAGGCGTAAACACCGCCGGACCAGTCGGGGTAGATAAAGTACTGGTTGTTCCGGTAGGACTTGTTACGGTAGATCAAAACGGAGTTACCCTTGGGTGCGAAGCCGTACTTGTGGGTGTCGACACTGATACTGGTGACACCGGGCTGACGGAAGTCAAAGCCACCTTCCTCCTCATAGGGCTCGGGGAATCCGGCCTTCTTGAGGAGTGCAACAACGAAAGATCCCAGACAGCAGTCGACGTGAAGGGGAATCTTGTATTTGGTGGCCAGCTTCGAAAGAGCGGGGATATTATCGACAATACCATGGGGGAAGTTGGGTGCGGAACCAACAAGAAGGACAGTGTTAGGGTTAATCAAACGGCGAACGGCATGGACGTCAACCTTGAACTCGGGCTCCGGGCAGGGGACACGGTGCAGCTTGATCTTGAAGTAGTTGCAAGCCTTGATGAATGCCGCGTGGGCGGTATCGGGAATAATCCTGCAAGTATTAGTTTACTGTGGCTCCGTCAATGTACTGGAATGGAGACTCACATCTCAGGCTCCGTGACACCGCGCTCCAAGAAAGCCTTTTGCCGGGCAGCCAAACAAGCCATGAGAATAGATTCTGTGCCACCGCTGGTGGTCACACCAGCGCCATCCGATGGAGCATTGAAGAGAGCCAAGACCTAAACATTCATTAGCCCTGTGCCCCGCGGCCATCAGATAAGTATCTTTCAAAGAAGTCATACCATAGAGACAACCTCAGCCTCCATCTTCCGAACGCCCGGGAACACATCCGGATGGATCGGGTTTGCGACACCAAATTGACCAAATGCCTCGGCTTGAAGTTTCAACAACTCCTCGCCTCCATGGTAAACAGCGCCACTAACCCGGCCATCCTCCCAGCGAGTATGTTCGAGCCCAGCCAACTTATCAAGTTCAGCGCGAACCTGCTCTGGCGTCATTCCCTCCTTGGGCAGGGTAAGATAGCGGACAACATCGGGACCGCTGTTGACAAGCTTAGTCTCAAGGTTGGTAATGGCCTCCTTCACCTGCTTATCGACCTGGCCGCGGACGCCGGGGATGCGCAGGAAGATACCGTAGAAGAACAGGCGGAGCGAGATGTAGACATTGCGGATGCTACCGAAGATGCCGTAGCCGCGGAGGGAATAGAAGGTCTTGCGCGTATACCGAAGGATAAAGAGAATAAATACTATGTTGCGGATTCTATGGAAATCAAATGCAAATGCGTCAGCGATCATCCCCGGTTTGGAGTCCGCGGGGAACAGGGTCTTACAGGTCGATGTTCAGGGCGGATAGGTGCGCGCTGGACGCCCGACCGTAGCCGACCAGTTTGTTCTGGAGGGCAACCGGTAACATTGAGGAGCTCATTGCCTAAAGAAATGGTGGAATAAGGATGGAGGTGTGGCGATGGGGAGGTTGCATTTGAACGTGACTGGTTGAGCCTAGCGTGCCTCGGCTGCCACATGAAGCAGGCGCTCAATGTCTTACTCTTTGTTACTTGAGTACTTAGGATTGTCTTGGTATCTATATCTGTGTATCTCTATTTAGTGTGTTAAAATGGCCATATTTGAGATAACTTATACCTACGCCGTACTCTATTGTTCTTTTCTCTCTACTCTATCTGGATGACGTAATTGGTCCAGGCTGCCCAGGTGTCTACCTACATAGTTGGCTAGAATGAAGAATAAGTCACGAATGGAATTGTGCGCTTATATACAAGATGGAGGGAACTCTCTCCTAACACCAGTCGTTCTTTTGAGTCTCCAAAAAGGGGAAGACGTTTCAAACCCACGGAAAAAGAAATGTCCCAAATACATAAAAAAAACTATAAAAAAAACATGAAATCATCAAAGATCCACCACATCTGACTTGGGACAGGCCATTGCAGCATGACGCGCAAATGGGGAATCTGGGCAATGTAATATCTTGCATCCAGACACTTAACCAATAACACTGCTAGTCTTGGCCTCGGCCTGCAGCTCCTTCACCTTAGCGGCGAAGACCTCCTGCTCTTCGGGAGAAAGGTCGAGGAGGGGCTTGTTCTCACCCGACTTCAGGTTACGGTGGTAGGCACGGATGATGCTGTCAGCGTCATCGACGGCAATGGGGCGGATGTCAGCGAGAGCCTTGATCTTGGCAGTGCACTCCTTGTAGTTGGCGTCGGTCATCTCGAGCTTGAGCTGTTGGGCACGCGACTTAATAGCGTTCCAGCCTGTCAGACGGGAGGCGAAGTGGACGTAACGGGTCATGCCGAAGTCGGCGGGGTTGATGATCTCGTAGGTGCTGGGGTTGTTGAGGATAGCCTTGGCGTGGATACCGGCCTTGTGAGTGAAGGCACAGAAACCAGTGATGTAGTTGTTGAAGGGAATGTTGACCTCAACGGCCTCAGCGACGAGGTCCTCAATGTCCTTGAGCTTCTCAAGGCGGTACTTGCCCTTGACATACTCGGGGTCGGCGACCATCATACGGGCCATCAGACCACCCAGAGGAGTAATACCGTTACGCTCACCGATACCGAGAACGGAGGTATCGATGTGAGTGGCACCGGCCTCGAGGGCACAGTAGGCGTTGGCAATGGCACAGCCAGTGTCGTTGTGGAAGTGAGTCTCAATGTCACAGCCAACAACACCACGCAGGACACGAACAAGCTCGTAGACCTGACGGGGAGAAGCGCAGCCAACAGTGTCGGCAATACCAACACGGTTCACACCAACCTTGTCCACAGCGGAGTAGATGGACAGAAGGTCAACCAGGTCGGAACGGAAGGAGTCCTCACTGGAGAAACGGATCTCAATGCCCTTGGACTTGACGAACTCAATGACTTCAATGGCGGCGTTCTTAATGTAGGTCATATCCTTACCGTGAGAGTGCTCTCGGAGGTAGGAGGAAGTGCCAATGACGACATCACTAGAGAAATGGTCAGTACAAATTCCACACAATGCATACAGATTTGACTCACACTCCGTCAACACCGGTCTCGACGGCGATACGGGCATCATCCATGTGGCAGCGAATGTGAGTGAGAATCTATGATACTTATTAGACCAATTCTCACGAGACTTCGGGCAAAGCCAATCATACCTTAGCCTTCAGGCCGAGCTTGCAAATGGCCTCGCAGTCAGCGCGGGACTGCTCTGAAGCGCAAGGGCTGGTGAGCTCAATCTATAGCAGCATTCTCAGTCAACCTCTGGTCATCAACAATGCATCTCTCATTTTCCGCGATGACTCACGTAGTCCACACCGAAGTCATCGAGAGCCCTGGCGATCTCGATCTTCTTCTCAGTATCGAAGAAAGCGTTGGCGAACTGCTCACCCTCACGCAGAGTAGACTCGATGATCTGGAAGCGGGAGACGTTGCTGAGGAAATCGGTGACGCCAACATTGTGGCCGTAAGGGTTGCGGGAGGCAGAGGGGTGAGGGTTCTGGCGGGTCTCAATGCCAGTGAAGCCGGGGTGCTCGCCGTCTAGATGTGAATTAGGTGTTTATTCCTGGAGATCAATTGCCAGTGAACATACTAGGGCCAAGAGCCTGGCCATTGGTTTGCCCATTGGGCTCGGGGTCGGCACCGGGACACATTGTGCGCAGATGGTGGGGTTGAGTATGGAGGGGTATTGAGGTGAAGCAAGACTCGGGAGTGAGGCAATGGACGAAGTATGGATCTTAAAGAAAGATGGACCAGATGCAATCTATTTATGATCTTTTTAGAGGGGAAAAAGGGAAGAAAGAGTCATACGCAAATATAGCGGGCGGTGTGGTTTCCATTTGCGTAGTAATCGGCGTTCGCTCGCTCGGCGGCAAAAAAACTGAAAAATTTCGCCTGGGGGTGGGGAAGACCGAGCGATGTCATAGGATAATTGACTCCGTCGCATGCTTTACCTCTACATTATTTGTACCTTTTATGACTCAATGCTCATCATTGCCAATTCCTGCCTTGCCGACATAGCAAGAATATGCATCAACTTACTTGGAAGCACAAGCGAACTGCCAGTATACATTTGAACTGCATACCCGACATCGGACCTGCGGGGTCTGAGTCATCCATAGACTGTTACCGGCCCCTCGATATTGATAATCATCTACTCTGCACTTACGCCGCAAGATAAGATACATAGGTCAAGCTATGTAGAAGCCCTAGGGGTCTTGATGTCATCTCATTTTTGGTCTTTATGATCTACACAGACCTTGTCCATAATCTCACATACTTGAAATGTGGAGAAACACCTATTCATACGCGTAAACAGCATAAACTAAGGTTCATCCTTAGATGACATCTCTGTGGCACAGTCTTCTATTGGGGACATTGAAAGAGATTCCATACTCGATCTTGTTATTTGATAACCTTACAACTTACCACTGGTAAAAACGTTAATACATTTGAGATGCCACAGAGGGACGCTTTTAATACTTGAAACATGATATGGGATACCAATCCCAATCCCTAATGGGGTATGTCCTCGGTGAAACTTGATATCTAAGTTAACTTATCAGATATAACTTATGCGTCCATGTTCCACAATGGACATTCTGTGTTGCCTAGTGTATGAACTCTTAGTCCATTGTGAAAAGAAGGATAGCAATCCTCGATTCCTAGAAGAGAATGCTGAATATGACCGACCATCCATCCTATATTACGGTATTCTCGGTCTAGGTCTCTGGGTATGAACTTCTTAGCTCCATTATATTTCCCAACGCTTCGCATGTGAATATATGTTTGATGAAGTTAGCTAGGAACATAAAATGTGTCCAGCTTAACTCATTAGATTGTTAGATGGTACTATCGGATTGTGCATCTCAATGTCAACATTGAGCATAACCTACGCCGAACTATTATATCGCTTGCAATCCTACGTTTGATGTCGTTGCTTATACAAAACCATGACTGAAATTAAGAATCTTAATAGATTTCTAGTCTAACCTTTGACCTGATATCTATATTATTCCAATCTTCTTAACATAGATAGGTAGAATGCATCTGGTTAATGACGCCACACTAAGTTGTGGGGACGCGGAGCTATGCAGGCCAGAATCCACATGGGTGCGAAGGATTTCCATAAATGTTCAAAGAGAATATAGGCATGGACTATAGGAGAAACACGCTTAGAATACAATAGAACCTTCTATGCATTAATTCGGCCGTAAGTAAACATGGCGTTGTGGACAACGCTTGGAAAGTAAATGAAACAGATGTGGTTGGTCAGCGCTCAGGCCAGCTGTCGTTCCAACTGCCCTGAGCTTCCTCACCACTCCTCTTCTGTCTCCGACTGTGTCAATTCTATCGCCATCGCGCCTTTCAGTCTCAGGTGAGTTGCTTGATCTAGTCGTACCCGGGGATCTATTTGCTTGACTTAAATCGACTGTCCCACTAACCCGATCCGCGCTTTAGCCTCAAGATGCGTTTCACGTCGCTCGTCACCCTCCTCCCTGCCCTGGCCGTGGCCCAGGAGCAGATCCCCCTCGCCGACCGTGTGCAAGGATGGTTTAACCAGATCAAGTCCTACGTGCCGACGGCAGTCCCAGTTGCCCCAGTCGAGAAGCTGGCGGAGAAGGTCACCGAGAAGCGCGTCACCCCGGTCACCCTCAACAACTGGCAGTCCATCCTCACCCCGGGCCCCAAGGAAGAGGACTGGCTGATCTTCACCACCGGTGGTAACAAGACCTGTTTCGGTCGCTGCGAGCGTGCCGAGAAGGCCTTCAATGTAAGTTGATACCCCAGCGACGCGTCCTTCCAGGTCCCAAATCTGACCACATTTCCAACCTCTAGGAATCCGTCCTTCTGTTCTCCGCCAACCCTACCTCTCCTCACCTCGGATACCTGGACTGCGAGGCCAACCAGGTCCTTTGCGCCATCTGGTCTGCCAGCGCCCCCGCCGTGTACTACTTCCAGGTTCCTCAGGAGCGTCCCGCCGGCGAGGAGCGCGCCCCTACTCCCCTCCGCACTATCCACCTGAACTCCACCACCGTTACACCCGAGGTTATCTACGATATCCACGGCAAGAAGACCTACGAGAAGGCCCCCATCTACGAGGGTGCTTTCCACCCTGTTGACGGCTGGCTCGCCAAGTACCAGCTCAATGTTCCCATTGGCTACGCTATCTGGGGTCTCGGTGCTGTTCCCAGCTGGCTGTTCATGATTGGTATCAGTTTCTTCAGCCGTACCATGATGTAAGTGGATTCCGCCCCGCGATTTTTTGTTTACAGTCTAACCTCGGAATTAGGAGCCGCCGTATGGGCCCTACTGGAAACGGCCCCGCTCGTCCTGCCCCCGCTGGCAGCGCGAACTAGAGCGTTGGTTTCTTCTATCTCTTGGGTTGTATATAATAGGCAGTAGTGTATTGGACCACTCCAGTATGCTTGGGTTGGCTTGTGTTATTCGAGGGGCGAACAACTTTGGGAATAGGGTCTCTTCGAACTTAGGCTTTTTTTTAGTTACCATTTTAATTGACCTATCCTAGACGCCTTTATTCATCGTAGCGCATTGCAAAAGCCCTTATAGTTCTGGCTTCCAGCTTCCAGTGGATTGAGCGAAGAAAGCCCGTGTCCCGGGTTGAAAATCTGCTTATATCCTTTTTTCCCTAGAGCCTTGCAGGTACTTGCATGGAGTTTAATCACAATAGAGCCGACTCATGATTATAAGAACTGTGCTAGCTCTATATTGCTCGCCGCAACTCAATGCTGGTTTCAACGGACTCTGGTAGGGTTGGCCATTGGTATGTGCTCCAATTGTTGAGCTATCTAAAGATTTTGGGTGGATTCTACCTTCTGCTGATTGCTTGATCGGTGTTTTGTTGACTTTTGCATGTCATTCAGCCGATATCACCAAATATATATCGTTGCATTGTTCTCTTTACACTACTACCTCTTTCACCAGCTCAAAGGCCAATTTTCGACCCTCTATATCTCCATAGGTTTAATAGAGAATATCGACCCTTGCTCAGCCAAGTCCAAGTACTGCGCCGCCAGCTCTTTGATCCGCTGGAATCGGGGTAGACAAGAGGCCTTGAAATCGCCCTAGAAGAGAGCCAACGACACCAATATAACACACGCCACATGGACCGCCTCTCTGTGCACACTGCTACCCGGATCTGAACCTCCTGTCGCCAAACTCTGCCGCAGAGAAACAAGAGCCTTCCTACACTGCTGCAGAGTGAAAGAGAGGTCTTTATCCACACTAGCCGTAGGTAAAGACACAGCCTTCGGGTTCGAAGAGCCGGCACCAGCATAGTTCTGCATATACCGCCAATACAATGAACTCATGGCAATCGCCGCGTGTCGCACAGCATGCTCCTGCTCGCTCACCTGGTGAACGAGGCCCTACCAGAAGTCATCGACCATATATCCGGTGCATTCTCTAGATGTCTGACCCCGGAATAAATTGAGGTTGGGGGCCTGCATCTCTCGCCTGGTGCGTGCGCGCCCGTCAGAGCTTTCGACGTAGCCGCATATCCGTCCTGTGCTGGTGCACATCAGACATGAAGGTGGAGAAGGAATCATATTAGTTGCTGTGATGGGGCAATTCTCATTGGTAGCCGATAAGCTCACTTGCACGTCTGACAGCCCGTACGAAACCTTCGGCCGGCTTGTCCTCGTTTTTGCTTTCTTTGCCCTTAGGATCATTCTGAGTTGTCAGAAGAATTAAGTTGCCTTCTAGAAGTGCATGAGGCACCGACAGTGGCTCTTCCAGCTTCGCTTATAAGGCTTGATATGGGTGGGCGTTTTACCGCCTTAACGTAACCTTATATAAGTTAGCTTGTATGCATTTGCTTGTCTCTTATGAGTTCATGTATACTCTGTAGAGTATGATCTTTTGTGAATAGGCCATTAGAGGTTATCACCCTGTCGTTGCCCTTGCCGTTCACGTCCACGCCTTTTTTGCGCATTGGTCGCTATTATTCTTCAACAAGACATGTCTTTTCTGACTCTCTCAAATCTACTATGGAGCAATTGGTTTCCTTAAAATTGGACGAATACCTTCAAAATATGTAAGGAAAACAGCGACGCTATAATAATAAGATTGATACGGTCTGAAACTTGAAACGTGACCGCGGTGTTTTCCTGCGTTGTTCCGTTGTTGTTCCCCAATCCAAGTATGTCCCTTTCTCTAGTTTACCTAGTCTGCCCAGTGAAGCCCGCTAGAAGGAAAGATTGGGCGACCAGAAGGCTCGATCTCCCCTTGGGCTAGGATCCCCTCATGTGGCGCTTTTCTTGCACAGTCATTCGTAGCAGCACGTTGCTAGGTAATATGCATGCGCCAGTTTTGACCTGATTTGCTCGCTGCCAATAATTTGTGGGCACCCAGTTGACCCGGACTCGTTAATCTAAATTATCAAAGCGAGGCTGTCTCAACCTTCTGTCCGTTAGCGGGTCTGGGTCAACTGGAACCCGATCATGTGTCTAGAGTTTGCCCAAGTTCTGCTCATTAGTTGGGCAACTTCTAGACAAATGATTGGCAGCAAACAAAATCCTGACATCGAGGCGTGGAGACATACGATAACTACCCTTGACGCAAAGGAATCTACTATAAGTACCTTGCCTCCAGGAATTAAGACGTCTACCTCAGATATTTCTCATCATTGGCTGGAGTTGCCAATCTTTTTTTATACTTACACTTGTAAATGCTTCTCTCGGTGACAATCTTCACAGTAGCCTGTTCCTCGCACAACATCCCAATGGATAGTTTGGTCATGCCTGATCAGAGTACCTGGAGTGCTGAGAATTTCGAATTTGGTCAAAGCGCTTATACTCATCAACCGCCGACGTTTATGATTGAAGAACTCTCCATGATGCCTGCAGAACTCTCGCTAGACCATTCTCCTATGCAGACTCCCTACTCGCAAGACTACTCGAAAGTATTACAGTCATATATCTGGACGGATCTGGGCTTTCAATGCTTCAACCCGAACGCTACACTCCGTCCTCAAATCAGGGACGACCGTGCCGAGTCCTCGGCCGTTGGCTACCTTGGCCCTGGTCACACTACTTGCCAGATTCTATCGGTTCCCATTCCCTCTGTACACGAGGTACCTCAGTCCAAGGCGAACAAAGAGTACTGCATCAAGGACAAAAATCCCCGTGGTCGTAGCGGAGTCTTCAAACCGAAACAAGAGTAAGCCACCTTCCAACTTGCTTTAATGCTACATCAGAACGATTTGACTCACTAATAGTGTTGTCCGTCTCAGAAAAAGCCACGGCTACGCCACTTGCAACTGGAAAGACTGTGCATACTCCGGCACGTTCTCTAGCAAAGGGGCCTTGATGCGCCACATTGACACACAGCATGTCGCTCCGCGTTCAGTCGACTGTACTAAGTGTGACAAGCTTTTCAGTCGGAAAGATAACATGACCGAACATCTGGGACGGGTTCACCGGGAGTGCGCTTGATAAAGGCGCGGTGGATTTAAAGGTATTGGGAGTTTGGGTCTGGGGTCAAACCTAAACGGTGATTAGCTTTTGCGGAGATGTGTACATTCTGATGGTTCCTGGGCACTGTTGTTGTTTGAAGATGAACGACGATAAACGGGAGATCGGGCAAGATGTCATTGAAAATAGGAAATAATGGAATACTAGCTGCAACGTATTTATATTGCCGGTGATTGTAGGGACTGAGTGAGCACCAGGGATTTGCGAAGTAGTTCTTACAACAGCGGCCATAAGCGTGTACTATATGCACACACCGACGAAGTATTGAACAGTAGCCCATAAGTCCATTCACACTTTCGCCTTTGTATAATCTAGATGGTTAACCCGAGGCACTCAAAGATGGGCAAAAGGGATGCAGAGAAGGAGGCCAAAGTAGAGTGAAAATAATACATAAAACGGTATAGTCACTTCAGGGCTTCGTGTAGAGACTGTCCAATACTTCATGGCACCGTATGCACATTCATGACCCCTGTTGTATGTCAATCTACCGCACTCGGAAAGCTGCCGTCCTCGGTGGTTTACTAACCTGATCCATAAGTGTGCGGGGAAATATGTGTACATTCAGTGGCATGAAGAACAATTCCAGAAGAGCGCATGCTGCATTTCTCATCAAGGTCACATTGGAGTATACAATCAATCGTGCAGTTCATTCTCAAGCTCATAATATATACAGATAAAACCGATATTAAACATTTTATAGAAACAAAGAGATCAGTTAATCTTCACCGACGCCAACAGGTTGATCTTCTGATCGATCGGAGCACCACTTCCACTTTGCGCACTTATGGGGCGGTCCGGGCTAGTTGGGCTGGTCGGGCTAGTTGGCAATGTTGGGGTAGTCGGAGTAACTGGGCTGCTCGGGGGAGAGAGGTGCGAGTTGATACCGTTCACCATAGCCTTAACAACGCCACTGAGACCACGGCCACTGCTCTTGCGAGGAGGATCGGCAGGCACAGGAATAATCTTGCGGCCCGGCTCGGGAAGAGGAATTTGAGGCTTTTGCAGACGCATCTGTTGTGTAGCCAGCGGGCCCTCGACGTTGCTGGCGATCAGTGCCAGCTTGGTGCCGAGTTTCTTCAGCATGCCCTCAGCAAACTCGCGCGACATGGCATGGCTCGAAAAGATCATCTCGATGCGGATCTTATCGCCAGCCGGCGTGGCCAGGATGGACATGTCACAGGCGTCTGGCGAGGGACAGACGAAGCCAGGAGCACACTTGAGGATACCCTCAAAGTTCACCGGCTGGCCCGGGGCGGCTTCCTCGCCTCCGAAGTCCTGGTACTGGAAGACGGTGCTGAAGCGGGTTGCTGTAGACCAATTGGTGCACTTGTTGATGATCTGCTGGAAGCCCATGCTCTCATGTGGGATTGTGTCGGTCTGCTGCTGCTGGATGGTGCGCAGCAGGTCAAGGACAGTGGTCATCTCTGTCATGTTGGCTCGCACTGGCACGATGTTCAGACATGGGCCCATGATGGACTCCACACCGTCGAGTGACAGGTTACGTCCAGATACCATGTGTCCGTAAACAACATCCGGTGTTGCCGCCATATCGGCGAGCGCAAGGGCCCACGCCGCCTTGACGACTGTGGCGGATGTGATGCCGTGGTTCTTGAATGCCACTAAAGGCACCATATCCGCAAGCATCGTGTTGAGCACGTTAGTTGTAGATGATGTGCTGTGCGAGACGACCGAGGTCATGTTCGCCCCAGCGAGCATTTCCTTGTAGAAGGCCTCGGCGTTCTCACTGCTGTAGAGCTGCATGCGCACGAAGTCGCCGAATTGGGTTCTCTCAGGCAATTCCTCACGGCGGTAAGCAGTACGCAGATCCTGCATCAGATGCGGCATGGAACCACCATCGTACTGAGCGTGCGAAATGCGCATGATCAGTCGGTGCTTAGTGGCGCCGTTCTTGACAAGCATGAACCGCACGATAACCTCGCCCAGATGAGGCGGCCGGGCGAGATCATCGCGGATGAGCGACTCGGTTGGGTCTTGCTCATCCTGGTAGTGCAGACTGTACTCGGGGGTGACTGAGCGGAGCACGACCTGGATCAGCGCCGAGCCAGTCGACACGAATACAGTGCGGAGGATGTCATGGCGGGCGATGAGCTTCTCACAGGCGGTCTGCAATCGGTGGAGGTCAATAGGACCATCGAAATCAAAGATCAAGTAGTTGCTCCAGCCGCGGGTCTGGTTGAGACCCCCTTTGATGGCGAGCGACTGGAAGTCAGTGGCCTCCAGGGCATCCTGGACCTGGAACGCAGGCACGCCGACCTGGGGCAGAATGATGTCATCAAGGAGCCTATCCTTGGAGATTGACTTGAGGGTAGAGAAGGGTTCGAAGGTCTGGGGTAGCTGTTGCTGCGACAGAGACTCAGCGAGGGTGCTCATGGCTTCAAGCGTTGGGTGCTGGAATATGGTGGCCGTGGACAGGGGAATGCCTCGAGTACGCGACGCTGAGGCCAATCGCATGGCAGTGATAGAATCACCACCCAGTCGAATGAAGTTGTCATTCAAGCTGATCTGCGCAGCAGGCATCTTCAGGACCTCTGCCCACATTTGCTGCATAGTAAGCTGCATCTCAGTAGTGGCCGGACGAGTATCTTCAGTGGCGCCAGAGTACTCAGCCATCTGGCGATGCGTAAATCCACTTCCAATTTTGACCAAGGTCTTACGATCTGCTTTGCCGGAGGGCATCTTGGGAATATGATACACCGGAAGATAGGCACTGGGGATCATGTGCATGGGAAGGAAGTCTGACAGTCGATCCTCGAGGCCAGAAAGGGAAGCCAAGTGTCGCTCATTCAGCGCAGGAATGATAGTCTCGGGCTGGTCGAGCATGAAGATCGAATTTGGCTTCCGGCGGGCCTCTTCAGGAGGCACCGGGATGAATGCAACCAGTCGGGGCTGGTCAGAGGCGTCCTTGGGGCAAACAATGTCGACGACGGCATCGGGCTTGTTGGGCAAGCTCTGCTTGATGCGATATTCAATCTCTCCCAGTTCGACACGTTGACCGCGCAGCTTGACTTGGGTGTCCTTCCGGCGCTGGAAGTCGAGGGATCCATCGGCATTGTAACGGACCAAATCACCGGTCTTGTAGACAATAGGAGATCTCATCTCGCCGCCAAGGTCCATCCACAACGGGTTCTCGACAAATGCAGCCTGTGTCTTGGCTGGCTCGTCCAGATACCCGCGGCCGACGTTCCAGCCCTCGAGAACCAGCTCTCCGACACTGCCAACAGGCACCAGTCGGTGGTGGTTGGTGGGCATAACAACCCACGCAACACCCGAGCACGGGTGTCCAACGTTACGTGGGCTGGTGCTGAGCGTCACGTCAATGTTGGAAGTGGAAGCAACACAGCATTCCGACGGTCCGTATCCGTTGACCAGTCGCACACGGTGACCCCATGTTTCGATGTGAGACTGAGACATGGCTTCTCCAGCTAGAACCAGGGCTTTGATTGACGGCACATCGTCAGGGCTGAGGAGGTTGACAAAGGATGGCGTGAGCGCCGCCCAGTTAGCTCTTGTGTTGCGGACTGCCTCGGCCACATCCCGCTTTCGCTGCTCCTCAGATGCCATACAGATACAACCACCGATGATCAGTATGGTGATTGTCTCGACGATACTCGCGTCGAAGGTCCAGGAGGCGAATTGCAGGGCTCGGGTGTTACTATCCATCAACATCGCCGGAGCATGCGTCACCGAACCAATGGCAAAGTGGCCGTGTTGGATGATGGTACCCTTAGGCTCACCAGTGCTTCCAGATGTGAAAATGACATACGCAGCATTCTCCGGCTTCACGTCTACCGGAGGCAGATCCGGAAGAGATGCCTCGGGAGTCTCAGCATCCAGGACAACGACGTTGAGATCCTCGCCCATGCTGCGGCAGAGATCGTACTGCTGGGGAGAACAAACGACAGTCTTCGCCTTGAGTTTTCTGATCATCAGCTGAATCCGATTGGCAGGCTGAGATGGATCAAGATTGAGGAAGGCACCTCCAGCACGCAAGACACCCAGCATGGCGGGCAAGGCCCAGCGACTCTTCTCAAAGCAGCATGGGACAAAGGTTTCCGGCTGGATGTCCAATTGGCGAAGGCATCGTGTGAGACGAGCAGCATGTTTGTCCAGTTCAGAATAAGTGAAAGAGCCGTCCCAGGAGCATACCGCCTCGCGGTCTGGGCGCTCGGCGATGCGTTCCCCGATCATCTGGTGAATTGTCTTGTGGATAGGCTTCGGAATGTGCTTGTTCCACTCGCGGATGCTCTTCTGGTCCTGGGCACTGATAAAGACCAACTCATTCAGCTTCTTATCCGCGGAGGCGGAACACATCTGTTGAACAAGGTTCTCCAGCTGACCAAGGATACGCTGCACAAGGTCCTTGGAGACCAGACTGGAATCATAGTGGGCGGCAAAAGCGGCCCCATTGGACTTGAGACTGCATTCCAGAGACAAGGCGTAGGTACCAAAGTTTGCATCGACACCGGAGACGGCTCGCAAGTCAATCTCGTCCGTTGGGACGTACTTTTCCTTGAAGGGCTGTATCACCAAGAGGGTCTGGAAGTCACAGGCCTGGGTGGCAGCTGCGCTCACACGGCTGATGTTTTGCAAACCAGCTTGTTCAAACGAGATCATCTTCGTAGACTGGGCCTGTACCTCCCCGATGAAATCGCGGATCGTCAAAGTATCGTTATCAGGGAACTTGACGCGCAGGGGGACTGCGGCGATACCGGGTCCAAAGAGTTGGTCTGCATTGGCAATGGGAGCGTTACGACCGGAGACAATGGAGCCAAACACCACGTCGTCTGATTCTGAATGAGAGCCGATGAGAACTCCCCATGCGGCGCGGATCATAGAGGCGATAGTGATGCCGGCCAGCTCGTCGGTCCGAGTAATGGTCATTTCATGCCTCTCAGAGGCGTCTGCCACTGGTTGCTTGGATGTGGAAACGGCCGAAGGGA